CTTCCACCCCATTGGCAGCTCCCCTTACTTAATTTATTTAAAACTTTTTTTAAACAAATAGGAAAAAAGGAAAAAAAAAAAAAAAAAAAAAAAAAGGTGCTTAACACAGTGCCTGATGTGTAATAAAAGTGTTCAATAAATGCTAGCAGTTGTTACCATCATGGAAGCCTGGAATAGCTGTGAAGATAAGCAAAGATGTTGTGGAATAGAACAGAAATTAACTAAAAGCAGACAGCACCTCCTTCCCCCATACTTGACTCAAACAAAAAGCGCACACTGATCAAGCAAGAAAGACATTGGGATTCAGGGGAGTGAGGCGTACAGTCAGCAGGGTCAGCCTGCTCCAGGTTTCCCTGACCCTGTTCAGGAACATGAAGGCAAACACAGAAGGGCATGTGCAGACACACACGTGATCACGCGAGTGATGCAGAGGCAGATCCAGACAAAAGACCGAGACAGGAGCCAGGCAGACACACAGACACAGCCCCGTGGAGTCATGTAGACAGGGATAATGACAGGAACGTGTCAGACACAGGCTCTGAGGAAGACGAGATGAGCCGATATGCTGGTGCACACGGAGACAGACACGGGGACCCACACACAGCCAACCTTGTCAGACAGACTGGTGAACATAGCGCCCAGTCAGAGGGAGACACAAGGCCCGCTGTGACACATAGCGGGCCGCGACCGGCACTGTCACTTCTCGGTGGGGGGCAGGGAGGGGCCGGTAGCGGGGGAAGGCTGGGGAAGGGAATCCCGGGCGGGCGGCCTGCCCGGGCGGGTGAGTCACACAGCAGCGCTCCAGCCGGCGGCCTCCCCTCCGCCTCCCCCTCCCCCAGGTGAGAAGGTAGTCTGTCTCCCCATGCTTCCTTGGGGCAGAAGGAGGCCACGCAGAAAGCGGGATGCGGCGAGGGTCTAGGACCGGCCCCATTTCCCCGCGTGCGCAGCGTGCGTGCTGCCTGCTCGGTAAAACCCCGTCTGCTGGGGGGTCTAATCTCAGACAACGGCCCTATGAGTCTGTGTGCGCATGTCTGACCCCCCTAACCTGCGTGGCTAGGACCGTGGGCGGAGGGGCTTCTCCGGGCTCTATCCCAGAGCGAGTTAAGTGTGTGTGATTGATGGAGTGGGTCTCTCCTGGGGCTCTAAAGGGCGGGGGTTGGTTAAAGTCCTGGAGTCTAGAGCCCGGATGGAGAGGGCGGAGCTGAGCTTTGCTGGGAGAGCCCGGATGGAGAGGGCGTGTCCTCAGCAGGAGAAGAATTAACCCTTTCAGAGTGGCTTGCTCTCGGGACTGTGGGTCGGGCAGGAGAGGCTGGAATGTCTGTTCGAGAAGTACACTGCTCTCTCAGCCTGGCTGTGGTTGCGTACGCCAGTCTTCGAGGAGTCTGTGGGTGTCTGTCTTTGTGCCTGTCTCACGACCGTGGTTGTCCCCTTCCCTTGGGTAGTACGGACACTGGCAGTCCGGGAGTTCTATTCCTGCCCCCAAAGCGAGAGTGAAGGTGAGAGTGGACCGCGAGCTGGCCGCCGGCGGATAGGGAACAGGTGCGAGTGAGGCGCCGGGGCTGCCCGGCGCGGGGAGGGGCTGTCGTGGGGGGAGACGAAAGGGGAAATTCCGCGGGCCCGGTGGTGAGTGGTGTGTGGGCTGACGAGTTGTGTCTGCCTCTGACTGTCTGTGTGTACTCGGGCAGGCGGGGGCTGAGTCAGTGAGAATAGGGGAAGGTTTTCTGGTGACTCACGCTCCCCCACCCCAAGCCTGAATCAGACCCCGGGGGAGGGCTTTGTACGGAAGGCGGATGGGGGAGTCTGGCGCCTGGGACCGGCGTGAGGGATCCAGGATAGCTGGGCGAGAGTGAATGAATGTTTAGTGTACAGGAAGTTTGTGTTCTCAGTGAGGGTGGCTGTATTCCAGGGTACCGGCGTGGGGGTTCGTGGACAAAGGCAGAGGGCCGGGGGCCGAAGAGGCAGGGAAAGCTGAGTCAGTTCCCCGTGGGAAAGGGGAAGTGGCAGAGGGGAAGTGTCATCATCAGAGAAGGGGAAGCTGCGTTTCCTGGTAACTGGCAGAGCCCTCAGCACGACTTCCCAAGCAGGAATCTGCTCCGGGATGTCTAGTCTCCTGGTTACCCTATGCCTGTTTCTGGCCCTTGGGACCCGGGATTAGGGTGGGGGGCACCCAGCCGGACTCTGTTTGACCGCCATTAAGCGCTGCACTTATTCCAGAATTGGGTGATTGGTAGGCTGCCTCTGGTAAGGGGCTGGAGTTCAGAAGCTACCGGGGCTTAGCGGGTAGCTGCGCGCCGGGCCCTGTGGGGTCCAAGGCGCTTCCGTACAAACAGACGGCCTTGGCCTTGAGGGGAGAGGGCTGTATTCACCAGAAACCTGTCTGCCCTTGTGGGAAGGGTGGAAATTTCCCCGTAGCGCTGACTTCTCTCTGCAAAGGTGAACTTTCCAGCCGCCCCCAGCCGCTGGCCGCGAGCTCTCCCCCGGCTTCCTGCTCGGCGCTTGCTCCAGCTGGAGCGCTGGCCCCGCCCCCGCCGCTTTGTACTCGCCACTCGCCTCTCACTGCTCTTTGTACTCTAGACTCTATGGACCGATCCCGGGAGCGAAGCCGGCTCCCTACCTGCGGGGACGCCGGGTAGGCACAGAGCAGGCGCGGGCCCGGAGCTCCTGGGCTCACAGAGGCTAGCAGGAAGACTGGGATTAGGGGAAGGCGCCCAGGAGAAGAGAGTGCTGCGCCCGTCGTCGGTCGCGCTAGCACCCACGGGACGGGGCGGGGGGGCGGGCTGGGAAGGAGGAAGTGAAACGGGTTCTGGGTTCTTTAAGGGAGTGGGTGGTGAGAGTGGGCCAAGGGTGATGTTACCGCCTGTCGGGCCCCGCCTTCCCTCGCTCCCGTAGGACCCCCCCACACACTTACACACACCGCTTCCGCTGCGCAAGTAGCCACGTCACGGGCAACCCCCGAAATCCCCCCTCCCTTGGGGGGCGGGGGCCACGTGGGCCGTGGGGGAACCGCGTGGCCCCGGCGAGGAAGGGCATAGAGGATACCGGAGCCACGCGAGAGGGGCCACCCGGGACCACGGCGCGCGACTTCTCAGAAGTTGGACAATTAAAGAGGGGTTTGAGTTTTGGGGGTCAGCCGGTATCGAAGACCTAGAGAGCCAAGGAGCTGGAGGAACTGAGTATGAGGCTGGGGGGCTGGCCAGACTTGGAGATGGGGTCAGGGGTAGGGGCGTAGGGGCGCTCCAACAGAGGCGAGGGCGGTTTGATGCCCTAGTCGGCCGTGGCTGACCGGCTTTAAGCGTTTCCGAAAGGTGCCAGGGCTGGGGAGGTCAGGCACCGGGCAAGGTGAAGTGAGGAAGGGGAGGTGCACCTCTGTCTAGGTTCTAAACTGTCAGCCTGTCTGTCCGCCCGTCCTGAGGCGGCGGGGCGGTGGGTTGTCGCGGGAAGTCTGGCCGGAGCCACCGGCGGCTTTGTGGGTTTTATGGGAATCGTGACTAGGGCCGACCCCGAAGCCGGCCTGAACGTGTGACTCGCCGCCCTCCCTCGGGAGGCTATCGGCCCCGCTTACCCCACTGACTAGGGTGTCTGGTCCGAGATGGGGACCCTTGGTGGGAGTCGCGGGGTCATATTGGGGTCACCCGGGGCCGAGCCCGTCCGACCGGCTCCGCTGCCCCTCCTCCCACGGTCGCTGCCTGCCGGGCTCACCTCCTTCCTATTGGTCTGGGGCAGGCTGTTACTGAGGCGGAGACACGGGTGATGATTGGCTTTCAGGAGAGAGAGGAAGTCCTGTGATTGGCCCGATTCCTGGAGCTCGCAGACGCAGTAAGTGAAAGGACGCTCCCTCAGAGTCCGGGTACGCGGCTGCGGCGTTGCGGGTCGCCCTGGTAGCTCTCCACTGGACGTCGGGAAACGCAGTCACCCTGTCTCACCGATTGCCACACTGCTTCCTGCTATTTATACCAGTTCCCAGCCAAACTCCGGGGCCTCTAGGTGCCCCTCCCCTCAGGGAAAGCTCCCGGGCAGATGACAGTGGGCGCCATAGACAAACCCAATCCTGTCGCCCTGTGTGCTGACCAGTTTCCTTAATCCTTTTCCCCAATCTCTCTGTAGACTTGGCTGTGAAAGACCCTGGACATACATCTGGGGACAGTGGCACTCTTTCCAAAGCAAGCGGCTGGAGCCGGACCATCGCCCCAGAGAGCTGGGGCAGGGGCCCGTGCCCGATCTCCAGGGCTCCTGGGGCCACTGCTGACCTGGTGAGGGAAGGACAGGCAGGGTAGGCTGGGTGCACACCAACTACTCTGACCAAGCCCCCAGTAAGATCATGTTTTTTTTTTCTCCCCGATTCAGGCTGGATGCATCGGGCAGTGGACCCTCCAGGGGCCCGCGCTGCACGGGAAACATTTGCCCTTGGGGGCCTTAGCTGTGCTGGGGCCTGGAGCTCCTGCCCGCCCCATCCTCCTCCTCGTAGCGCATGGCTGCCTGGAGGCAGGTGAGAACTCGGGCCATCGCTGCTGTCGTTTCCAGGCACTCCTCTTCCCCACGCCCCATGCGCCTCTGCTCCATCTCTTGTACCCTTCCTTCTGTGTCATCCTCTGCGGGCTTCTACCTTTCCGTGTGTCTCAGCACAGACTTCAGACGGTTTCTCTCATTACCAGACGGTTTCTCTCATTACCACTTTTCCTCTTCCCTAGGTGGGGATAAGACAGTCCACCTTGCTTTACATAACAGACTATTGTCTCTCCAGGTGCTCAGCCAGTATCGGGCAGCCTCCTCTCCCTGCTCCCCTACCCCCTTCACATGGCAGTAGCTCTGGGCATCCCAACAAGTCGTATTATGCCCCAGGGTGAGTGAGGGAATCAGAGGTCCTGAGGGTAGGAGGTAAGGCTGGGGCCTTAGTAGGCTCTTTCTCCCTAAGCCTGATCCTTCTCAAACACTCCTACTCTGTAGGACACCTACCCCAAGACCCCTCCATGGGAAGCTGGAATCCCTGCACGGCTGTGTGCAGGCATTGCTGCGAGAGCCAGCCCAGCCAGGGCTGTGGGAACAGCTCGGGCAGTTGTACGAGTCAGAGCATGACAGCGAGGAGGCCATACGCTGCTACCACAGTGCCCTTCGATATGGAGGAAGCATTGCAGAGCTGGGGCCCCGCCTTGGACGACTGCAGCAGGTGTGATGAGGCAGGACAAAGGGGGTTGGGATTGTGTCTTCTGGCTTACCCCCTGCTTTACATCTACCTCTGCCCTGTCCCCCAGGCCCAGCTCTGGAACTTTCATGCTGGCTCCTGCCAGCACCGAGCCAAGATCTTGCCCCCCTTGGAGCAAGTGTGGAACTTGCTGCACCTTGAGGTGAGGCTGGGGCTGGGTAGGCTACGGGGGCGGCTCAGGCCGGGCCTGCACCTGTACCATCCCTCTTTCTCTTTCTCTTTTTGTCTTCAGCACAAGCGGAACTTCGGGGCCAAGCGGGGGGGTCCCCCAGTGAAGCGAGCTGCTGAACCCCCAGTGGTGCAGCCTGTTCCTCCTGCAGCACTCTCAGGCCCCTCAGGGGAGGAGGGACTCAGCCCTGGAGGCAAGCGCAGGAGAGGCTGCAACTCTGAGCAGGTATGGTTAGAGGTGGGCAGGTAGGCCGGCCGTGAGTGGGCAGGACCAGGGCAGAGTGGGAGCCTCACACCCACTTCTTTCCTAGGCTGGCCTTCCTCCAGGGCTGCCGCTACCACCACCACCATTACCACCACCACCACCACCACCACCACCACCGCCACCCCTGCCTGGCCTGGCCACCAGCCCCCCATTTCAGCTGCCTAAGCCAGGGCTGTGGAGTACCCTGCATGGAGATGCCTGGGGCACTGAGCGCAAGGGTTCAGCACCCCCAGAGCGCCAGGTGAGTCCCTGTCTATTCGCCTCTTACCTGTAAGGTCCTGTGCCTTGATTCCTCACTCTTTGTCTCTTCACCTGCCTTCTGTAGGAACAGCGGCATTCGCTGCCTCACCCATATCCATACCCAGCTCCAGCCTACCCCACGCACCCCCCTGGCCACCGGCTGGTCCCGGCTGCACCCCCAGGCCCGGGTCCCCGCCCCCCAGGAGCAGAGAGCCATGGCTGCCCGCCTGCCACCCGTCCCCCTGGAAGTGACCTTAGAGAGAGCAGAGTTCAGAGGTCGCGGATGGACTCCAGCGTTTCACCAGCAGCAACTACCGCCTGCGTGCCTTACGCCCCTTCCCGGCCCCCCGGCCTCCCCAGCACCACCACCAGCAGCAGTAGCAGCAACACAGGTCTCCGGGGCGTGGAGCCCAGCCCAAGCATTGTGAGTGGTGACAGCACATGTGGGGTAGGGGAGTGGGGAATCCATGGAGCTCTTCTGAGGTGGCCAGAGCAGCCCACTGACCACACCCATAATGTACTTGCAGCCCGGCACTGACCATTACCAAACTCCAGCGCTGGAGGTCTCCTCTCACCAGGGCCGCATGGGGCCCTCGGCACACAGCAGTCGGAAACCGTTCCTGGCAGCCCCTGCTGCCACTCCCCATCTACCCCTACCACCTGGACCCCCCTCACCTCCTCCACCCCCCTGTCCCCGCCTCTTACGTCCTCCACCCCCTCCTGCCTGGCTGAAAGGCCCAGCCTGCCGGGCAGGCCCAGGCCGAGATGATGGAGAGATCTTAGAGGAGCTCTTCTTTGGGGCTGAAGGACCCCCTCGCCCTCCACCCCCACCCCCCCCTCAACGTGAGGGCTTCTTGGGGCCTCCAGCCTCCCGCTTTTCTGTGGGCACTCAGGATTCGCACACCCCTCCCACTCCCCCAACCACCAGCAGCAGCAGCAGCAGCAGCAATGGCAGCCACAGCAGCAGCCCTGCAGGACCTGTGTCTTTCCCCCCGCCTCCCTATCTGGCCAGAAGGATGGACCCCCTTCCCCAGCCCCCTAGCCCATCATTGAGCACCCAGGACCCACCCCTTGCCCCCCTAACTCTTGCCCTGCCTCCGGCCCCACCCCCCACCTGCCACCAAAATACCTCAGGAAGCTTCAGGCACCCGGAGAGCCCTCGGCCCAGGGTCTCCTTCCCAAAGACCCCCGAGGTGGGGCCAGGGCCACCCCCGGGCCCCCTGAGTAAAGCCCCTCAGCCTGTGCCACCCAGGGTCAGGGAGCTGCCTGCCCAAGGCCCGCGGCTCTTTGATTTCCCCCCTACCCCACTGGAGGACCAATTTGAGGAGCCAGCAGAATTCAAGATCCTACCTGATGGGCTGGCTAATATCATGAAAATGCTGGATGAATCCATTCGCAAAGAGGAGGAGCAGCAACAGCAGGAGGCAGGCGTGGTCCCCCCGCCCCCCATGAAGGAGCCCTTTACATCTTTGCAGCCTCCATTCCCTGACACAGTCCCAACCACCACAGCTGCCGCCACTGCCGCCACCGCCCCCGCCGCCACCACCACCACCACCACCACCGCCGCCACCACCGCCGCCGCCACCCAGGAAGAGGAGAAGAAGCCACCACCAGCCCTACCACCACCACCGCCTCTAGCCAAGTTCCCTACACCCCCTCAGCCACAGCCACCACCGCCACCCCCACCAGGCAGCCCAGCTAGCCTGCTCAAATCCTTGGCCTCTGTGCTAGAGGGACAAAAGTACTGTTACCGGGGGACTGGAGTTGGTGTTCCCACCAGACCTGGGCCCTTGCCCACCACTCAGTATTCCCCTAGTCCTCCATCAGGTGCTATTGCCCCACCACCCACCTCAGTGGCTCCTAGCGCCCAGGGCTCCCCACAGCCCTCCGCTTCCTCGTCATCTCAGTTCTCTACCTCAGGCGGTCCCTGGGCCCGGGAGCGCAGGGCGGGTGAAGAGCCAGCCTCGGGCCACACGACTCCCACCCCACCGCCCCAACCCCTGCCGTTGCCCCCTGCCCGCTCTGAGTCCGAGGTGCTAGAAGAGATCAGCCGGGCTTGTGAGACCCTTGTGGAGCGGGTGGGCCGGAGTGTCACAGAGCCAGCAGAGACAGTGGACACAGCAGAGCCAGTGGACAGTGGGACTGAGCGGCCACCCCCTCCCATCCAGGCCAAGGAGGAGAGTGGCGGGGTAGTGGTGGCAGCAGGGCCAGGGAGCAAGCGGCGGCAGAAGGAGCACCAGAAGGAGCACCGGTGGCACAGGCGGGCTTGTAAGGACAGTGTAGGTCGGCGGCCTCGTGAGGGCAGGGCCAAAGCTAAGGCCAAGGCCCCCAAAGAAAAGAGCCGTCGGGTGCTGGGGAACCTGGACCTGCAGAGTGAGGAGATCCAGGGTCGTGAAAAGGCCCGGCCTGAGCTTAGTGGGGCCTCCAAGGCCAAGCCACCCACAGCTCCTGCCCCTCCACTGGCTCCTGCATCCTCTGCCCAGACCACACCTGCATCAGCCCCTGTTCCTGGGAAGAAGACACGGGAGGAAGTCCCAGGGCCACCAGGCGTCAGCAGGGCTGACATGCTGAAGCTGCGCTCCCTCAGTGAGGGGCCCCCCAAGGAGCTGAAGATTCGGCTTATCAAGGTAGAGAGTGGTGACAAGGAGACCTTTATCGCTTCTGAGGTGGAGGAACGGCGGCTGCGCATGGCAGACCTCACCATCAGCCACTGTGCCGCCGACGTCGTGCGTGCCAGCAAGTAAGTTGGGTCATCACTCCGTGTGCCAGCTTGGCCCAGGGGGATAGGCTTTCTGCCTCCACCACCCTGATGTTTTGATCTTTATGCTATTCTCCTTCTATAGGAATGCCAAGATAAAAGGGAAGTTTCGAGAGTCCTACCTTTCCTCTGCACAGTCTGTGAAACCGAAGATCAACACTGAGGAGAAGCTGCCCCGGGAAAAACTCAACCCACCCACACCCAGCATATATGTATGTGTGCTATGTGGGCTCAGGCCAACCCCTGCCAGAGGCTTCTGAAATAGGACTGAGAGGCAGTTGGGGGTTCTGACCCAAGTCTCTCTCAATTGTCCCTCAGCTGGAGAGCAAACGGGATGCCTTCTCCCCAGTGCTACTGCAGTTCTGTACAGACCCTCGAAATCCCATCACTGTGATCCGGGGCTTGGCAGGCTCCCTGCGGCTGAGTGAGTGTTGGGGGCAGAGTGGTATGCAGAGAACTGAGGATCTGGGGCTGTAGGACCCTCAGAGAGCTCCCACTTGAGGAGACCAGGGCAGTGGCTCTTGACAGCCCTCTTCCAAAGTCACGTGTAGACCATCTCTGAGGAGTGCTCTTGGTGCTGGGCCAGCTGGCCTCACATTTTTCTCTTGCCTGTCCATCTCCAGAAGTGAGAGAGTGGGAAGGAATGTGCGTCAGGGGCTGTTCAGAAATACTTCTGGGTATTAGGGATAATTAAGCAGAAGTATACAAAACAACGTAATTTAGGGCTGTTTGTAAATCCTTTATGGTCCAAAATTTCAAATACATGCAAAAGTAGAAGAAATAGTATGAAATCATAAAGATTGATCTTATTTCTTCTATATCCAAGGCCTCTTCTATACCCATACCCACTCCTCTCCAACACTGAATTATTAGACATACATTCTAGGTCTCATGTGACTAAATCTTAAACTGCACCCAATGATAACCTGAGCTCCTGTATGCCAAGTGCTGTGCCCATGTAGCCTCATGCACCCCTGAGCACTCCAGTAGAGGGGCCAAGGCTTGGAGCAGCTTCGAGTGGTGGTGGGGGGGGGCCGGGGAGTGGAGGACTAAGGATCCAGGTAATGACCCAACCCTGGGAGGACCAACCTCCCAGCTTCACATATGCTGGGGTCCTCGCCTATTCCTCTTGGGCTGAGCTGTGCTGAGCCTGTGTTCACCCTGCCAGGGGCTGCTGGGAGTCAGAAGGGAAAGGGTGAGTTGGGCCCTTGCTCCCTGCCCTCTGCCTCTGCCCCGACGCCCTGCATGGCCCTCCCTCGCAGACTTGGGCCTCTTCTCCACCAAGACGCTGGTGGAGGCGAGCGGGGAGCACACCGTGGAGGTGCGAACCCAGGTGCAGCAGCCCTCAGATGAGAACTGGGACCTGACGGGCACTCGCCAGATCTGGCCCTGTGAGAGTTCCCGTTCCCACACCACCATTGCCAAGTATGCGCAGTATCAGGCCTCCTCCTTTCAGGAGTCCCTACAGGTGAGAGGCAGGATTGGGCAGAGGCGGGGTGCTGGGGCCAGTGGAGTTTCAGTTGAGGTCGTGGGAGGGCTCCTGGGAAAACCACTGACCCAGGCCTGGTTGCTACTCTGGTTGAGCAGGAGGAGAAGGAAAGTGAGGATGAGGAGTCCGAGGAACCGGACAGCACCACAGGAACCCCTCCTAGGTACGGTTTTGTCCATTCCTTTTATGACTCCTCCCCTTCCCTTTGCTTCTCCACCAACCTGTGCTCTTCACCCCAGCAGCAGTGCCCCAGACCCCAAGAACCATCACATCATCAAGTTTGGCACCAACATCGACCTGTCTGACGCCAAGCGGTCAGTGGGGCTGGGCCGAGGCCATCCGGGTTGGGGCAAGAGTGCTGCCCAAGCCCCTCTCACCTTTGCTTCGACCTCACCACTGCAGGTGGAAGCCACAGTTGCAGGAGCTGCTGAAGCTGCCCGCTTTCATGCGGGTGACGTCCACAGGCAACATGCTGAGCCACGTGGGCCACACCATCCTGGGCATGAACACGGTGCAGCTGTATATGAAAGTCCCGGGCAGCCGAACGCCAGGTGCGCTCTGGGCGCGTGCGCGCTGGTGCGGGAGAGGAGGGGCTGATGTCCACGCCTGGAAACCCGCCTCTTGAGCCGGCCTCTGCGATCAGCCAATGAGGAGCGAGGGGTGGAGTTGTTGCGGCGTGATCTAGCCTAACACGGAGATCTCTGTTGCCCCCCGCAGGCCATCAAGAGAACAACAATTTCTGCTCTGTCAACATAAACATTGGCCCTGGCGACTGCGAGTGGTTTGCAGTGCACGAGCACTACTGGGAGACCATCAGCGCCTTTTGTGACCGGTGCGTGCCACCACCTGCCAGTCGCCCCGTTCCTGGGTCCTCAAGGTCCTTCCTGACCTTGTTGTCGCCCACAGGCACGGCGTGGACTATCTGACAGGCTCCTGGTGGCCAATTCTGGATGACCTCTATGCCTCCAATATTCCTGTATACCGCTTCGTGCAGCGCCCCGGAGACCTCGTGTGGATCAACGCGGGCACCGTGCACTGGGTGCAGGCCACCGGCTGGTGCAACAACATTGCCTGGAACGTGGGGCCCCTCACTGGTGAGAGGTTGGGGTGGTTTAGAGTTACTCAGCATTGAGGGGTAGGCTCTTGGGGAGGGAGGGGAGGGAGTTCCTTGGGGCATGGCCTGGGAGGGACCCCAGATGTGAGGGGCGGGGCTTGGCCTCAGGTGGCTCTGGGCTGTTCAGAAACGCTGTAGTGACCCCTCTGGCCCACAGCCTATCAGTACCAGCTGGCCCTGGAACGATATGAGTGGAACGAGGTGAAGAATGTCAAGTCCATTGTGCCCATGATTCACGTATCCTGGAACGTGGCTCGCACCGTCAAAATCAGCGACCCCGACTTGTTTAAGATGATCAAGTGAGGACTCCACTTGGGTGGGAGCCCATCTCTGCCTGTCCTGGTCCCTGCTCATGTCCTTTTCTCATCCTACCCCATCCCCATCTATCTCTCCATCCTATCTACATGTGTCAGGCAGCGCATTCCGAGGATACTGCAGTGAAGGAGGCCGACAAGGTCCCTGACCTCATGAGCTTTATTGTCGGTGCCAAATAATAATAAAATGGAATTTCAACTGTGGCTCTCTGGCAGAGCTCTGAAAACGCTATGAGAGCCCAGGACAAGGGGCTGGACCTAGCCATGAAGCGGAGGCGGCCTTTGGAGGCAGGCTACAGAGCCGAGATCTCTGCTTCCACCCCATCTCCCCGGCTCCAGCCCTGCCCCGCTCTCTTCGCGCCTCCTGGCAGCCTTGCCTTAACCCCACCGCTCGCTCCCCAGGTTCTGCCTCCTGCAGTCCATGAAGCACTGCCAGGTGCAGCGGGAGAGCCTCGTGCGGGCAGGGAAGAAAATTGCCTACCAGGGCCGGGTCAAAGACGAGCCTGCCTACTACTGCAACGAATGCGATGTGAGTACGCTGCCCTCCACGGCTCCCGTACTGCCCACGGGCGGCCGCCCCTCTTCCTCACTGCCGCCTCCTCACTGCCCCAGGTGGAGGTGTTCAACATCCTGTTCGTGACCAGTGAGAACGGCAGCCGCAACACGTACCTGGTGCATTGCGAGGGCTGCGCCCGGCGCCGCAGCGCGTGCCTGCAGGGCGTGGTAGTGCTGGAGCAGTACCGTACGGAGGAGCTGGCGCAGGCCTACGACGCCTTCACGCTGGTGAGCCCGGAGGGCGGGCAGAGGGGCGGGCGGAGCGCCGGAGGGCGGGCCGGCGTGGCCCGGGCGGCGGCCGCTGAGCACCTACCTGCTTCCCCCCACCCCCGCAGGCGCCCGCCAGCACGTCGCGATGAGGCCGGACGCCCCGCCGCCTGCCCACCCGCGCAGGGCGCCGTGGGGCCACCAGCACACGCCTGGGCTGGACCTAGGTCCCGCCGCGGGCCGGGAAGGGGGTCGGGCCCAGCCCTTCCACCCCATTGGCAGCTCCCCTTACTTAATTTATTTAAAACTTTTTTTAAACAAATAGGAAAAAAGGAAAAAAAAAAAAAAAAAAAAAAAAAAGGAGGCGGGGAGGGGGCTGGCAGCCCCTCGCCCGTCAGCGCCTCCCCTCACCGACTTTGGCCTTTCTAGCAACAGACACAAGGACCAGGCTCCGGCGGCGGCGGGGGTCACATACGGGTTCCCTCACGCCTGCCAGCCGCCCGCCCGCGCACGTGGCTCGTGTATGTACATAAAACGTTACGGCAGCCGAGGTTTTTAATGAGATTCTTTCTATGGGCTTTACCCCTCCCCAAGAACCTTCTTTTTTACTTCCAATGCTAGCTGTGACCCCTGTACATGTTTCTCTTTATTCACTTGGTTTTGATTTGTATTTTCTGGGGTGTTTTGTTTTTTGGTTTTTAATTTATAACAGTCCCACTCACCTCTATTTATTCATTTTTGGGAAAACCCGACCTCCCGCACCCCGATGCCATCCCGCCTGCCCCTCCTGGGACCGCCCGCTGCCGGGCCCTCCCTGTGCCCCAGAGTGTGTCCGGGCCCGGCCAGTCCGTCTCCGCCTATCTGCCCACGGCTCCAGCCGGGTTCTCATGGTGCTCAAACCCGCTCCCCTCCCCTACGTCCTGCACTTTCTTGGACCAGACCCCCCACTCCCGACCCGACCCCAACCCCGCCTGAGGGTGAGCGACTCCTGTACTGTAGGGGAAGAAGTGGGAACTGAAATGGTATTTTGTAAAAAAAAATAAAATAATAAAAAATTTTAGAAATTTTAAAGAAAGAACTATGAGGAAGAGGAACCCTGTCCTTCCCAGCCCCGGCCGATTTTAAACACGGACTTTTTTTCTTTAAAGTGTGAAACAGCCCAGGCCTGTGTCCCCCCTGGGGCAGGGACACCTGGGGTGAGTTTCTGTGGGGCTTTCTTTTTTTTTTCTCTCTCCACGCTGGGGCTGCGGAGGGGTGGGGGGTTTACAGTCCCGCCCCCACGCACTGCACTGTCTCTCTGCCCCAGGGGCAGAGGGGTCTTCCCCCCATCCCTATTTTCGGTGATTTTTGTGTGAGACTATTAATATGAAAAATAAAAGCAGAAAAAATCCTGTTCTGATAAAGTGCTGGTGATAGCAGGGAGGGTACTGGGAGGAGTGTGGCGAGCCCATGATTGATGGGGAGAGACTGTGTGGACCCTGGCGGGCGCGAGCCCCTCCCTGGAGGCGCCTGTGGAATGTCCAGAGCGCTGGTCTGCTCCTCGGGATGGGGGGTGCCTAATCCTAGAGCCGCATTCCAGGATAAGGGGGGTGGGGAAAGGCCGGCCGGGGGAGGGGCAGGAAAGAGGGCTATAAGGATCGCGGCCTTGGCGGGCGGGAGCGAGGCGGGCCATGGCGGATGTCCCCGGGGCTCAGCGATCGGTGCCCGGCAGCGGCCCGGAACCCCGAGACCCTCTGGACTGCTGGGCTTGTGCTGTGCTGGTAACGGCCCAGAACCTGCTGGTGGCTGCCTTCAACCTACTTCTGCTGGCTCTGGTGCTGGGGACCATCCTGTTACCCGCTGTCACCATGCTGGGCTTCGGCTTCCTCTGCCACTCCCAGGTGAGCGTGCGCCCCGGTTATGCGAAGCTGTGTGTGTGTGTTTATACTGATGCTGATGATGGGTCTCTGGGCTGCAAATTCTCTCCTCCTTTGCTGTTCCTGGCCAGTGTACTGTCTAGCTCAAGTCTGCTTGGGCCTTATGTCGCCTTCTCCTACAGTTTCTGCGCTCCCAGGCACCCCCTTGCACCGCGCACCTGAGGGATCCGGGCTTCACCGCCCTGCTGGTCACCGGCTTCCTGCTCCTCGTGCCGCTGCTCGTACTTGCCCTGGCCAGCTACCGCCGCCTGTGCCTGCGCCTCCGCCTGGCCGACTGCCTTGTGCCCTACAGCCGAGCCCTCTATCGGCGCCGGCGTATCCCGCACTCGCGGCAAACCCGAGCCTCACCAGGGGCCCAGACCCTTCCCCCATCAGGAAAAGTCTGGGTCTGAAGACCCTTGAGTCAAGAACCACCCTGATGACTGCTATCCCTCCCAGTCAGCCCCCATAATTGAAGCCCCGGTATCTTCCGACCTGCCTCGCCCTACCCCTGCCTGAGGTCCTTCGCCGCATCCCTTTGGGAACAGCAGAGACTGTGGACCCAATGCTGGTGAAAATCCAGCACACTCCGGAAAACCCACATTGCTCACTACTCACACCTGAATCCTGAACATCTGGGCTGGACCCTGCACACCTTACTCCCTCTCTGGGTCCTCTTGCTATAAATAGGACAACTAAGCCTAGTGCCCTCTTTTACTGAAGTAGCTCCTCCAGCATTTAAGGGGCTGGGTGGGTGGGGGGGTGCTGGAGTGATCACACATCAATAAAGAATTAGTGAACTGAGTGCGCTCCTGCGATCCTGTGACCAAACCGAAACCCACTGCCACGAAGTGGATTCTGACTCAGCGATTCTGTAGGACACAGTAAAGTCACCCCATAGGGTTTCCAAAGTTGTGAATCTTTACAAAAGCTGCCTCGTTTCCCTCCCATGGAGCAGCTGGTGGGTTCAAACAGCTGCCTTTTGATTAGCGGCTGAATGCTTTAACCACAGTGCAGCAGCGCTCCTGTGAGCAAAAACGTGGCAAAACTGTCATTGCTATCCGGTGCCCGGAAGCAGGCAACTCTGCTGAAGCTGCTCGCCCAGACCACAGCACTCTTCAGTCTCCTGGCCTTCCCTTATGGCCTTAGCAGGTTCTTCCAGGCGAGACCCCCGAGTTCTGTCCCTGACTAGCCGGCATCCTCTCCTCATCAGTTGAGTGGGCAGGCCCAGCCTCGGCCTCCTGCCCGGCTCCCATTGGGGACCTGAGCCCGTTCTCTGACCTCAGCTCAAAGGAACTTGGTGTTGCCAGGCCGGGAAGGGAAACAATGGGCCTTCCGGAGCAGGATGACACCCCTCCCGCCACACTGCTGGAGCAGCAGTGTGGGAGAGACGATGCAGGTCCACTCTAGGGACCGTTTGTCCCCAGTTCCTCCTGCCGCCCCTGCTCCCCACCCTAACCCACGGGACAATTTTACATCCCTGCACACGTTCAGGTTGGTCCAGTCTGGAACTCAGCTAAACCCTTTTCTCTGAGTGGGCATGCAATCCCTGTCCCAGCTACACACAGACACAGGCCACTTCGGTCACAGGTTTAATGAAATCAGAGGCATGCGCGATGGATGGTCACTGATATGGAGGCCCCGCCAGGCTCTCCCTCTGCACCTCAATAGTAACGATGTGGTGTCCGGGTACCATAGCCAGACCCAGCACACGGGGTTCCCCAGCAGAAAAGGAATCTGGAAAGAAGGGTCAAAGTTTCAGGGAGGCAGGCCTGGATCGGTCCCGCCCCTTCTGAACCAAGACTGCAAACCCTAGAAAAAAAAGGGGTGCAGCGAGGGCCTGAAGGGGAAGCGCCTTGAGACAGGCCCGGGCACTGACCCGACGGCTTGAGGAACTCCTGCGCCGAGCCTAGAATGACATTGCAGTCGCGGTCGGTGCAGAGGAAGCAGCCAACCAGAGTCCTCCCGTCAGTCATTCGAATGCGCATTGTCTTGTTAAGCAGAGCCTCCAGCTGCTGCCGGGCGCGCGTGGCCGGCGAGTCCTCACGCTCCCCATCTGAGTCCTGCGCGGGACGGGACACGCGCTCAGACCGCGCAGCCCAGCAGCCCGCCCGCCCGAGGAACCACAGCTCCCGGCAACCCGCGGGACGCCCACACGAAGCCCAGAGGCTGCCGGGAGCTGCAGTTCCCCCCATTCTCCCATCTTGCTACCCGATTGCCCTTCAGTCCCAGAACCCGAGGCCGCGCTAACCCCAGCACTGGAGCTGCTTTGACGCCGGCTACAACAGCCATTCTCTTCTCGTAGCAGTATGGTTGGCCCAGCTCCGGCCATTTGCTCTGGGGCCTCCTCTAGACCCTTCAACTTCCTGAGAACCTTTCGGGTCCGGTGGTCTGAGATCTCGCGAGCTCTCCTACCTCTTTTCCTTTCGCGAGATCACCGCTCCTCCTAGTCTCTTCGGCAACTACAGAAATCTCGCGAGCTTCGTCTTTCTCCAGCGCTGTGGCGGTTTATTATACGCGATGTCTTAAGATATCGCGAGAAATGTATGTCTCGTTTTTAATACATATTTTTAGGAACCCTGCAATTAATGGAGAATACCTTCTTTCATAACTCTCCCTTTTTTACCTGCCTCGCACAATATTCTGTCCTAAATATTCCCGGTCGCTATGCGTCCGAACTAACTCCACGACAATGGGTTGGTTTGTTTGGGCTTTATGTGCCGGATCCCGGAATTACACTACATTTCCCGCGAACCCTTGCAGACCAACCCCGCCCTTACCTACGCAATATTTGATCTCAGTGGACGGTGGCCGGAAAAGGACAATGGTTTCCATGTCAGCAGGTCAACGCGCTCCCCTGGTTCCTGAACCTTGAAGTAAATGTGAGAATTTGCCGAGTAGAGAAGAATCATCTGAGGAGCCGGTGACCCGTAGTGCTAGAGCCATGCCGCTCCGGGGCCTAGTGGCTGGACCAGACTTTGAATTTTTTCAGCGTCGCTACTTCACGCCGGCGGAGGTAGCCCAGCACAACCGGGCCGAGGACCTCTGGGTGTCTTACCTGGGCTACGTCTTTGATCTAACACCGTTGGCACAACAATACAAGGGTAAGGGCCACACGTAGGGCTGGGGCCGAGGTGTGTGTCTGCGGGTGTCTGTTTTTTGGGTGGTCGGCAGTGACGGCGGCTGCTTCTTCCCAGGGGACCTGCTGCTGAAACCCATCGTGGAAGTTGCAGGCCAGGATATCAGCCACTGGTTTGACCCAAAGACCAGAGACGTGAGTTCCGCTGGAACCCGAGGTTGGGGAGAGGGGCGCTGAAAAATTCGGGTGGGGAGGAAAAGCCAGAGCCCAAGATAGTGACTACTCCGACCTGCGCTCTTCCTGTTGTTATTATGTGCCCTAGAGTCGGACCCGACTCATAGCTTCCCCTACCTTGCTTTAAAAGATCCGCAAGCACCTAGATCCTCTGACCGGCGCTCTGAGGTACCGCACTCCGCGGGGCCGCTTCTTGCACGTCCCTCCTCAGCTACCCCGTTCGGACTGGGCTAATGATTTCGGGAAGCCTTGGTGGCAGGGGTCTCGTTACGAAGTAGGGCGACTGTCCACGAAGACCCGGCACATCCGCATCATTAACACGCTTACTTCGCAGGAGCGCACATTGGAGGTGAGAACTGGGGCCTGGGGGCAGTTTAGAGGGAACTGGGAATGCCAGCAGACCTCCAGGCCATCAGCTCTCCGTAACTGGTAGGAGCTGTATTTCTTCACTTAGGAAAGCAGACCATCTAGGTCCCAGGGTTGGAAATTCCAGGAGCAACTGGGTCACATATCTGCGTCTTCATATGTTCAGAGCAGCACTTATGAATGAATCTTGGTGATGGTAGTTTTTGGAAGCTCTTATATGCTGTTTTAGACTGCAATTCACTCTCCTATTAGCCTAACCTGTTGTGAGGATGAGGTGAGTGCAGAGTGGCTTTGACCCTAAAGGGCCATCTGTTTGTTACAAGTGGTTGCCGTGAAGACAGGGACTATGAAGTGCCTGAAGTTGCTATCTGCCAAGGGGAGGTACTCTGATCCCAGCTTTCATGCCTTGGGCTCTTGGCCTGGGTGTGTGTTCCATTCAGAATTCTGGGGGTGGGGTGCTTCTGTGTTCTCCAGGTGGGAGCTCAGGAATCAATGTGGGAAATTCTACACCGTTATCTCCCCTATAATGCACATGCTGCCAGCTACACGTGGAAATATGAAGGGAAGACCCTGAAAATGGACAGTACCCTAGAAGAGAATGGGATCTGTGATGAAGATGAAGAATTTGACTGGCTCAACATGGACAGTTCACTCTATACACCTGCATTACTGCTCTACTTCAATGATGACCTCACTGTGTTATAAGGAAGGATTTTTATGCTTACATAACACTTAAGACATACTTTGAGTTTGGCTATTTCTGTGCCCTGAAGGAAAAGAGGTGGAGTAAGAAGTACCTAAACCTAGACCTCCATCCTCTCTGGGAACTGGCCTATTTGATTCAGAAAAGGTCCTCTTCTCTAGCTCCATTACAATTTGCTCTGAGAAAATTGAGAATAGTAGAAGTGAATTAACTAACTAATCTTTAATGATACAAGGAAAGGAAGATTAGGAAGATGTAGAAGATGTGGGATAGAACTCACGCAGAATTTTTCAATAGTAAGAGAAGTGCTACGCAGGAATAAGGTATGGAAGAATTTTTTTTTTTTTTCGGTAATTACAGAAATAATGAGTTGGCTATAGGAAGATGGGCTTTACAAAGACAAGAATAGGAAATAACTATAATTGACCACACAAAACTGGTTTATCTCCCTCCTAAAATAGTATTTGGCAACTGAAGCCCCAAGGGAAGAAAGGAAGTAAATGGTTACCAGGTAATTCAAGAGCTGGATATTATGGTAGGTGTTTTTTGTACACCTTTTTTAATACAATTAGTAAAGTGGAGAACACTACCACTATTTAATAGGTGTCTTCTGAAGCTTAGAAATATTTAAAAGTAATCATCAGAGCCAGCATGTAACCCAAGTTTCTCCAACTCCAAAGCCCTTGTTCTCAATATAAAAGAAATGTCTCTAAATCTAAGTCATGCTAACATGTGTAACCATTGCTCTCAGACTAAGTGGTATGTGGGTTTGTCCTAGATCAGTTGTACAATAGGGCACTGGTATGTAGTCAGCCACTCTTCCTTCTGCAGTTATAGTCCTTTAAAGAGAGTTAGCCAGGTTCTCCAGTGGCAGAGAGGAGGCAGGGAACACTGAGTCAGTTATACAATAGCTACTGAGGTTAATTCCTGGTTAATCCCATAGCAAAATATTCCTTCTGATTTTTTGAGGCAAAGCACGCAAGTAGTATAGTATATTCAGGATGAGTGTGTGCTACTTGGGAAGGTGAGGAAGACAGGTTGTTTGCAAAATGGTAACTCTGAAAGGGGGATCTTGACACGGATAAGAGAGGAGCTAGGAGGTCAGAATACTCTTCTGATGAAAGAGAACAACCATGGGGGCAATGGCCAGACTTGATAGCTGTTAACCTAAGCTTGGGAGTTTTCTGAGGGCCTATGAGAGGCATGAAGAAAGGTGGATATATCCTATTGGCTTTAGCCATATCTGATCTCACCGTGAGGAGTTCTCTTTAGTCCCAGCTAATGCAGAAACCCATGAATGATCTGTACCAATCATTTTGATGATTAACTCAGCATTTGTTCCGTACGTATCTTGTTTGCTTAGTTAAACCCTAAACTATTTGATAACTGAAGTAGACAATTCTCTGCACCAGCTTCAGGGCTGTGTCTATGGGATATGCACATTATGCTGCCTGAACCTGTCCCTCTTCCAATCTCCTACTTCAATACTTCTAGCCAGAAACACATCCTTTTTCCTACATACACCAGTAGCTCTCCAAGTAGATTCTACCTCCTAAATCTCTCTGGAATTCATCTTCTTTCCTCCAGGCCAGCACACCTCTGGCTGACTGCTCTGGAAGCTTCCTAACCTGTCCTTCATTTCCACTTTTGCCCTCCACACACCATGATCAGAGTGATCTTTGAAAAACAAACACAATCATCAAACTTGTCTGCTTCAGATTCTTCAGTGACTTCCAATTGTTTGTTTCCAATAAAGTCCTTAATACATGACCTTGCATAATTCAAGTCCTGCCTTAGATATCCCATCTCCTAACACTCTTGTTTCCCTGTGCTCTGGCCACACTGGCTGGCTTTTAGTTCCTTAAATGTCTTCTTGCTTCAGAGCCTTCACAGACTGTTCTCACTGCTTGGAACACTTTTCACTTAGCTGATGCTAAATGTTTCTTTCTCAGGGAAGCCTTCTCTGATTTCTCAGTCTAGATCAAGAACCAAAAACAGAAAGGAAAAACAAAAAAAAAAGAAAATTCAGCTGCTGTCAACTTTGACTCATGGCAACCCCAAGAGTTAAATCTTGTTAGATCTTTTCAGTACTGTTCATTTTTTTTTTGTACAGAGGACATGCTAACTGCAATTTTCAAATATGGATATAACTGGCTGGTTGGCTGCTAGATTGTAAGCTCACGAGGGCAGAAATCTTGTCCATCTTGTTCATTGCTGTATTCCTGGTGCTGGGCATACAGTTGTTGCTCAATAAATTTTATTTGAATGAACTGAAATGTTAAGTGAATTCATCTGTCTGTAATAACTAGAGGGCAGGATGTTGTGTACTGAGAGGTACAGTGGGACCAAGAAACAGTCTGTATCCTGGGCTGCAGTCTTTTATCTACAGGTTTCTCTTTGCTTGCTCCCATAGATCCAAGACCAAAAATTAGGTTCTTCGCATCAGAAATTCTTTTGGGCAACCCACCTGTGATTTCCCCATATGGCCATCAATCAGGTGGCTGTAATTGCCTATGGAGTCAGTGAAGGGTAAAGAGGAAGGAAC